CCAGCAACGAGGCAAGAAAGCCAAAGCTCCCCCCAGACTGCTAGGGCTGTTGTGAGCTGAGGGGGCGCTCCTCAAGTGGTGGTTGAGGGGCATTTACAGAGGCGCCTCTGCGCCCCTGGCAAAAAAAAGTGTTCTGCGACCGCTTACTTTGCGTAATGGACGAGCCGCCCCTGGGGCAAAGGCAGGTCTTGCTACTACTAGTGCTACTACTATTATAGTTATTTTCCCCTGTATCTATGAATTTTAAATCAATATCTTACATATTTTATTTATTTTAATATGTGTGTTTTAATTTTATGTTTATGTATTTTTAATCTCTCTGTGTTAAATATTTTTATGTTTTTAATCTATTATTTAGGCAAAAAGTCTAGTAAGGAACAATTTTTATTATTACCCTATTTCTTTTATTCTAAGATACACCCCCCCCCCCCCCCGACAAAAATCTCTAAAAATGATGTGCATCTTAAGGCCCTTCCACACAGCTATATAACCCAGAAAATCAAAGCACAAAATCCCATAATATCTGCTTTGAACTGGGATATCCAAGTCCACACTGCCATATATCTCGGTTCAAAGCAGATAATGTGGGATTTTATTCAGCTGGATGAAAACGGCCTTAGAATCACAAACATTTTCTTATATATAAATGAAGCTTTTTCTGTTTGTAGTACTAAACTCAGTGTGTGCCTTTCGATAATGGTATCTTAAAATAGAAGAAGTATGGTGTCATTATTATTATTATCATCATCATCATCATCATCTGATCTCTTAATTAAACTAATTGCATTTCTTTAAAGGTTGCCCTTTGTCTCAAAAAGAATTTAAATAGCCAGAACTTGCAGCCAATACAATTTAAATGGCTTCCTGCAATATTGAAGTAAAAGAAATCTTAAATTCATAACAATTACTTGAATATTTCTGAACATGTCCTTTGCACATTTAGAAATATTTAAGTAAGAAAGTGAACCTTTCTTTCTGCATGATTATAAAATATCTGCAATTAAATACACAAATATGGCACTGTCATGATTTGCTTAGCCTTTGGAAGGAATGGATTCCAGGAATCAGTCAGCAGCATCTTTAATTTCCACAGCTGGAACATTATGCAGAAAGTATAATACCATATGCATTCAAATGTAAGGTGCCACTGATTGTAAGATGCACCCTAATTTCAGTACCAACAACAACAAAAATACATAAGATACACCTACAATTTTAAGACGAACCACATTTTAGAGCTATTTATATAGGCAAAAAGTGTGCCTCAGAATGGAAGAAATAAAGTAGTTGCAAGTCCTGCTCCATTATTTTTTCATATAAAAATTAAATCTGTTAATAACTGGATGAAAGCTTTTTTAAAGAAGGCATCTTTACAAAATTACACAACTGAGAGATTGGAATGCAGGCTACAAGTAATACAGTTATATGCAAAATGCTTCTGTGGATAACAATAGTATAACAGAACCACATTCCAGAATTAAAATGTAAAAATAAAGATATTCCATAATGACAGTTATGCTATATTTTATCACCATATAATGATAGTATTTTAAAAGTTCCTTTTAAAAATGTAGGGATATTAAGGGATTTTAATGAGCATTTCCTGTTTTATGCTACATTCTTCTTAACCACAAGAGGTTTTTTTAAGTAAAAAAATTAAAAGTAATGAATAATACAGGAGGTTACTTTCAACACATTATTTGTGTGTGTGAGTGTAAGAGGAGTGACTTGAGAAACTGCAAGTCACTTCTGGTGTGAGAGAATTGCCCATCTGCAAGGACATTGCCCAGGGGACGCCTGGATGTTTGATGTCTTACCATCCTTGTGGGAGGCTTCTCTCATGTCCCCACATGAGGAGCTTTAGCTGACAGAAGGAGCTCAACCCATTCTCCCCAGATTCAAACCGCTGACCAACCTGCCAGCACAAGGGTTTAATGCATTACACCACCAGGGGCTACTAAACACTGTAATGAGTATGGATACCAAATTATCGTTAATGGAATGTTGCAAGCAAGTTGCTCTTATGAAGTATCATTGTTAAGTACTGAGATTTTGAAACCATTCCACTAGTGTATTCAGTACTGTCCCCAAGACTTTTTTTTAATGAAATCTATTTTATTCTGTACTTCTGTTAATGTGTTATATGCAGTCTAAAGAAGATTTGTCCACTGATCCAAACACCAAAAAGAACAATCTACATCATCTTAAGACCCAAGACTCATACGAAAGAAAGCACAAGTAGTTCCCAAGTTATTAACAAGATCGGTTCTGTAAGTTTGTTCTTAAATTGAATTTGTACTGCTTGCACTTTCATTTGCTAAAATCCTTACTTAATTATACAAAGTCTTTGCTACAATGAGCTAATTAGTTCTTGGGATGCCTCTTTGCTAGTTAGACATAAAGTGTATTCTTAGGCCCCATTCACACTGCTATATAAAATTATCTGCTTTGATAATCTGTATTATATGATAGTGTAGACTCCCATAATCCAGTTCAAAGCAAATAATTTGGATTATCTTCATTCATAATATGGATTATATGGCAGTGTAGATCCAGTCTTAAGTAGATTCAGTCTTAAGCCCCTTCTACCATGCCATATAAAGCCAGATTATCAATCCACATTATCTGCTTTGAACTGTATATGAATCTACACTGCCATATAATTCAATTCAAGGCAAATAATCTGGATTTTATAGGACAGTTTCGAATAAATCAGCCTGGGCAGGTTAAGCTCAGGTTATGTGATGGTTTTACCATAGCTCTTCGTTTTGCCATTAATGATGCCTTTCCCTTCCCTTTGCCGAGAAGAAGGAAAGGGATTGTGAGGTTATTGCCTCTGGTGCCAGAATCACTTGGTTGATGGCTATGGGGAGTGAGGGCGCCTCATTCCCCATATATATCAGGCAGTAAATTGTCTCAGGCTCTATATCAGGGGTCCTCAAACTAAGGCCCAGGGGCCAGATACTGCCCTCCAAGGTCATTTACCTGGCCCTCGCTCAGGGTCAACCTAAGTCTGAAATGACTTGAAAGCACACAACAACAACAATCCTATCTTATCAGCCAAAAGCAGGCCCACACTTTCCATTGAAATACTAATAAGTTTATATTTGATAAAATTGTTCTTCATTTTAATTATTGTATTATTTTAACTGTTTTTTTGCAGTACAAATGAGATATGTGCAGTGTGCATAGGAATTCATTCATGTTGTTTTTTTTCAAATTATAATCCGGCCCTTCAACAGTTTGAGGGACTGTGACCCGGCCCTCTGTTTAAAAAGTTTGAGGACCCCTGCTCTATATGACCTCTTCCAATCGACAGTACCTCTGCCAAATCCCATAGGGTCCTTTCCAACAGGGTGCATCTGCACTGCAGAATTAATGCAGTTTGACTCCACTTTAACTGCCTTGGCTGAATGCTATGTAATCATGGTAAATGTAATTTTACAAATTTTTGAGTCTTTTCTGCCAAAGAGTGCAGGTGCCTCCCCAAACTACAATTCCCATGACAGTTGCAGTGGTGGAAAAAAAAACAAATATAACTCACGCAATAGACTGCCCAAAAACATTTGGTTGTCTGCAACAGAGAAGCTAAAGACAGGACTGTCTGTGTGCCTGATATCCCAACCAGCTAATGACCTCTCCCAGTCCCTGGCAGTAAAAATACTATAATTACAAAATATACAACAAATGATTTACTGTCTTTTCATTTCATCATATCACCTGACAGAGTTGCTTCACTTTACCTAAACTTTCTTCCCACCATCTGATTATGAGTGAACTGTATATGAGTCTGTCTACACTGTAGAATGAATGCAGTTTGACATCCATCACTTTAGCTGCCATGGTTCAATGATATGGATTCACGGAGTTGTAGTTTGATGAAGTATTTAGCCTTCTTTGCCAAGGAGTGCTATTCCCAAACTACAACTCCAAGGATGCATTAGCACTGAACCATGGCAGTTAAACTGGTGTCAATCTGCATTCATCCTACACTACACCTGAACATACAGAGGTGTATATAAGGTGTTTTGTTGAAGGCTTTCATGACCAGAATCACTGGGTTGCTGTGAGTTTTCTGGGCTGTATGGCCATGTTTCAAAAGCGTTCTCTCCTGATGTTTCACCCATATCTATGGCAGGCATCCTCAGAGGTTGTGAAGTCTGGATGCCTGCCGTAGATGTGGGCAAAACATCAGGAGAGAATGCTTCCAGAGCATGGCCATAAAACCCGGAAAACTCACAGCAACCCAATATCAGGTGTTGTTTAGACATCAGAATCTGAGTTATTTAGCAACATCACAAATCTTCTGAGAGCTGAAGTAGAACTTGAATGTTGGACTGGAATTGAAGGAGATCAGGGTTCAAATCTCTGATCAGCAATGAAAAAACACAGTAGGTGTACCTGGACTCTCTCAGTGTTATACTGGATCTACACTGTCATCTAATCCAGTTTCTGAATCCAGATTATCTGCTTTGAACTGGATTATATCAGTCCATATTGCCATATAATCCAGTTCAAAGCAGATAATCTGGATTCAGAAACTGTCTTATGTGGTAGTATACACGGGGCCTTAGAGAAGGGAAGGGACATACTGTCTGTAAACAAGCCTGACCAAGAAAACTCCTTGATAAACTGTATGTTGTAATCATTTTAAAGGCATGTAAAATTATGAAACCATCTAGTAACCACATTTCTATAATGCCAACATGAGATAATGTTAAGTCTGCTTTTATCTAAGAGTAAAATTTCTGTTCCTGTGACAGAAAAGAGTGGGTACAATGAGAGTGCAATCATATCACTTAGTTACAGTACTTTCTTCTACTTTGACTGCCATGGGGCTTGCAATTTAGGGCCAGAATCTTTTATTGTCTCAACAGAATACAAGCCTTGGGATTTCATAGGACAGTTAAAGTGGAACATATAGAAATATCCGAACATATAGTGCGGATAGATCCAAGGTTTCTCAAAGACTTAAGAGATGGTCAAAACTCCCAACTTACTTTGGTTTGTCAGCAAAACTACAGGAACAACTATGGCTGTAATGATAACGGCAACCACAAGGAACCCGAACAGATATTTCAGTGCTTTCTGGAAAGAAATGAAAGAAGAAACAAATTAGAAGCATGTAAGAAGATTGCAACTGCACTGCCGGATAAAAACAAAGAAATCCAGCAACTTATTTCCCATATTGACTAATCAGGTTCCTCAAATGCAGGAGGTGGAACCAGCATTTCCACTTCTGACTTTGCTTTCCAGTAAATGAAACTCATGGACAGTATTCTGGAGAGACAGGGAACTGAATCATCCAGAATGGTATGAAATCTAGGCAATGAATTTTCTGTGGAATTATGGGGTGTGTTGTTGAAAGAGTGACTCTTTAGAAGGAAAATGGTTAACTTGTAAAGGCTTGTTAGCATTTGATAATGATTGATACAGTTTGAAGAAGAGAAGGTGGAAGGTTTCCCTATACAACCCTTTGCCTATTTGGATTTGTAAAAGTTAGACCTAAGTTTGAAAACCTATTCAGGGGATGACCATTTGATTGCAAAAGTTTCCACTTTGTTGTTAAAAAATGAAATGAAAGAAGAACAAGTGAAATACTATAAAGGGTTGATGTGAGTTTTCTCTACTGTATAGCCATGTTCCAGAAGCATTTTCTCCTGACATTTAACCCACATCTTTGTGGGTGATGTTGTGAGGTCTGTAGGAAACTAGGCAAGTGGGGTTTATATTTCTGTGAAATATCAAGGGTACGAAAAAGAACTCCTGTCTGCTTGAGGCAAGTGTGAATGTTGCAATTGGGCACCTTGATAAGCATTGAATGACCTTGCAGCTTCAAAGCCTAGCTACTTCCTGCCTGGGCGAATCCCTTATTGGGAGGTGTTAGCTGGACTTGATAGTTTCCTATCTGGATTTCCCCTGTTTTCTGAGTGTTGTTTTTTTTTATTTACTGTCCTGATTTTAGAGTTTTTAATACTCTTATGAAAAACAGCAACCCAGTGATTCCAGCCATGAAACCCTTCGACAACACATTGTATACTATATAGTTAAATAGTTTCAAAATATAAGTACAAAATTTCATCTGGAACAATGGGAGAGGATGTGGAGAAGGAACTTGAAGTTTACTTTGAGTAATAGTTTGAAAATATTTATATCTATAGATATATGAAGATGTATGGGTGGTACTTGATACCAGACAGACTTTCTAAAGGAGCTCTAGTAAATATTGGAAATGCGAGAAAATTGTTGGATGTTTTACCATATGCGTTAATTTGCAAATAGGCCCAGCTATACTGGATTCAAATACATCTGACACTGGAAATAATAGTTACAGTTAAAATCATAATGAAAACAGAATTTTATTTGTTGGGAATTCTGGATGATCAACTAGAAATAAAACATGGAAGATTACCACAGTATATTCTAACTACTGTGATAATCTTTTATGTGCAGATTGAAGGAACCAGTTGTCTCAACACAAGAAGAATGGCTGGCATAGTCTCCTAAAAGCATGTCCCACCTCTCATTTGGAACAGTGTTTCCATTTTTGAAAGTTTCATAATATTCCACCTATCTAATCAGGCTTTATGGAAGATTGATAAAGGGACCTCAGTGCTTTCCTCAGAACCAGGCATGAGAAATATGTGTGTCTCCATATACTGCTACACCGGAAATCCCATGAGTTGCAACCCAAAAAATATCTGGAGCTTCCCAGCTGTTCATTTATCGTATCAGAAGCAAAGCAAGGGTACAGTTGTAATGTATTTAAAAAACACAAAGTTTAAAAAACTTGGCATTATATTAGATTTCCTTTGCTCCACTGCGCATGTGGCAGGGCTCAGTTTGCATTGTAGCAAGTGGTCTATAGTATGCTCTTCCCCACACTCGCTGTCATGGACTCCACGTTGTGGCTCCATTTCTTAGGGTTGGCTCTGCATCTTGTGGTGCCAGAGTGCAGTCTGTTCAGCGCTCTCGAAGTCATCCAGTCTTCTGTGTGCCCAGGAGGGAGCTTCTCACCGAATCTCAGCCACTGATTGAGGTTAATAATAATATAATATACTTTGTTTATAACCTGCCCTCTCTTCGCAAAGGGACTCAGGGCGGTTTCCAAAATATAACAGAAATGGCAAACATTCAATGCCAGAAACAAATAAACAGCAATCAAGGCAAAACAAAAAATAAGCAACCTAAGATACACTAAATAAACATCATATAACACCAATTGAAACACAAGACATTAAAAGCATAATATAATATACCACACGAGTGGGCTGAGGTATATTCTAGGATTTAGCCTGCCACTTTTGGACTCTCGCTTGCTGAGGTGCTCCTGTGAGTATCTCTGTAGATCTTAAGGAAGCAATTTCTTGATTTAAGTCATTGGCATGCTGGCTGATATCCAAACAGAGGATGGGCAGGAGATGTCAATGCTTTGGTCCTTTCATTGCTGGCTGCTACTTCCCAGTGGTGCAATACCAGCTAAATAGTATAATTTCTCCAGTGGTGTAGGGCATAGACATTCTGTATTTATTTATTGTATCAGGAGGGAACCAATGTATTTGAAAAAACACAAAGTTTGCAGATGTGGCATTCTATTAAATGTCCTTTGACCAGTAGCTGGCCACTTGGAGTGCCTCTGGTGTTGCTATAAGAAGGTCCTCCATTGTACATGTAGCAGGGCTTAGGTTGCATTGTAATAGGTGGTCTGTGGTTTGCTCTTCTCCACACGCACATGTCATGGACTCCACTTTGTAATCCCATTTCTTAAGGTTGGCTCTGCATCTCGTGGTGCCAGAGCACAGTCTGTTCAGTGCCTTCCAAGTCGCCCAGTCTTCTGTGTGCCCAGGGGGGAGTCTCTCATTTGGTATCAGCCATGGGTTGAGGTACAGGGTTTCAGCTGCTACTTCCCAGTAGATGTCAGGTGGTGCAATACCGGCTAGACCAGTGGTTCTCAACCTGGGGTCCCCGGATGTTTTGGGCCTTCAACTCCCAGAAACCCTAACAGCTGGTAAACTGGCTGGGATTTCTGGGAGTTGAAAACTACTGGGCTAGACAGTGTCATTTCTCCAGTGGTGTAGGGTGCAGACAGCCAATGATAATGCACCATGTCTCATTAAGAGCCACATCAACTGTTTTAGCATGGTGAGATGTGTTCCACACTGGGCATGCGTAATAATAATAATAATAATAATAATAATAATAATAATAATAATTTATTTATATACCACTCCATCTCCCCAAGGGGACTCAGAACGGTTCTCAGGTAACATCACAAAACATACAAAGCATGTACTTAACAATGGAGTAGCAATTCGCAATGGCAGGTGTCTTCACTGTATCTGGTTGTGATCCCCAGGTTGTGACAGTCAGCTTCTGTATGATATTGTTTCAAGCGCCCACTTTTTGCTTGGTATTCAGGCAGTGCTTCTTGTAGACCAGAGCACGGTCCAGAGTGACTCCCAGGTATTTGGATGTGCTGCAATGCTCCAGTGGGATTCCTTCCCTGGTAATCCTCAGAGCTCGCGATGCTTGTCTGTTCTTAAAATGAAATGCACATGTCTGTGTCTCAGATGGATCAGGAATCAGCTTGTTTTCCCTGTAATAGGCTATAAGAGCACCTAAAGCTTCTGTTCAACCATTTCAAAGCGACCAGAGGCGATTTTTTCCACCTCTCATCACATTGTGATTCTCATCAGCCAATTTAACCAATGCAACTATTTGTGGGATTTGCAATTCAACATACCTGCAATTCAACATACAATTCAAATTGCCTGTCCCTGAACCAACACAAAACCAGAACTCTCATCCAGATTATTCCTTTTCCTGCATTAAAGAGGTTTGGCCTACTGCAGTTTAATTTTTGTCTTCATGTTGAACAAATATACATGCTGCGACGGGAGCAAATGTAGTCTTAGGACAGCTGTGATTTTATCCACATATAATTAATATAATAGGATTTAATACAAAAGTATTTTTCCCAGTGGGTCAGCATGATGGGAGCTTTAGGACTTTCAATCTATTCTTGCAGCCAATCTGCAAGGGTATTTCATCTGTTTGTGAGCTATTATCTGGGAATGGCCTCCACGCTGAGATAGAACTCACAGACCTTTGATCTGTCAGCTCTGTCCTTGATCTGATAATCCCTTATCAAGAGAGTGACAAGGCATTCTCCATCTGAGGTTTAAATTTCTTAGTACATAGTTCTCTGGTACGTCCATGCCTAAATTTTCTGTCTTTGTAGATACTGTCAGGTTTTGATGTTAACATCACCATATTTTTTAAAAAATGATCTTTATTATTATTTCAGTGTACATCAATTAAAATTAAGATTGTCTATATAAAAACATAACTATAAGTGAGTGGGGAACAGTGTCTAAGGATAAGGGTTTATATACATATACATACTCATGTTTATGTGTGTGTGTATAGAGAGAGAAAAGGAGAAAAAGGGGAAAAAAAGAAGAGAACAATTTGGTTTCCGGTCATCTTTGGTGTGGTTTATTTCTTTTTCTTCTTTCTTCTTCTTATACTTCTCTTCCCCTCCTTTCCATGCTACCTTTTATTATATCTGTATGTATATATCTTGTCTTTTCTCTTTCTCTTCTTATCTCTTTCATTTTCTTTTCTTTTTCTCCTCCTCCATATATTTCTGTAGTAGGCTCCAATGCAATTCTTTCTGTGCTCTTCCTTGCTGCTTCAACATTAATTGTGTCAATCTGTCCATATTTTTAATCTCCCAGATTTTAATCAACCATTGGTCTATAGTGGGGATTTCTTTCTGTCTCCATATTTTGGCATATATGATCATCGCTGCTGTTGTCATAAAACTTAGAAGTTTTTTCTGTATTTTCTCCAAATCTTCTTTCTGTCATATCCAGTAGTATGCTTCTGCTTTCATCTGGATTTTTATGTTCAATATTTTCTGCATCTCATAGTGTATTTTAGACCAATATTATTTCGCCTCCTTACATAACCACCACATGTGTTAAAAAGTCCCTTCTTGCTTACCACATTTCCAACATTTTGTGTTTATATTTGTATGGCTCTTTCACCATGATTTAACATTTTGTCATCCATCGGATGTCTTTACCTGTTTTTTTATTATTGTGAAACCTATATTTTATTTATTGTTTCTGTATTTGTAAACCACTGGGTGGGACACGGAACCCTTGGTATCGTCTGAGGTTTATTCCCAATACCCCTTGTGGATACCAAAATCTGTGGATGCTCAAGTCCCATTATATACAATGGCACAGGGGATTTTTTTCATGTCAGAAGTAACTTGAGAAACTGCAAGTCGCTTCTGGTGTTAGAGAATTGGCCATCTGCAGGGACATTGCCCAGGGGGTGCCCGGATGTTTTACCATCCTGTTGGAAGCCTCTCTCACATCATAGTGAAATGGTGCCCCTTATATAAAATGGCAAAAAACAAGAAAAGACTTTTGGATAAAAAAAATATTTTAGAGCAGCAGTTAGTTGAATTCATGGATGCAGAATCTGCAGATACAGAGGGCTGGTTATATAATTATATTTTAAATACATAAAAATGATTCCCCCCATGCAGCAATCAGCCAGGCTTTGAAACAACAAGGCTATTAAATGTTAATCAAGATGGCCAATTGCAACATTCACACTGGCCTCAAGCGGACAACAGTTCTTTCTCCCACCCTGGACATTATTCCACAAATATATAAACCTTACTTGCCTAGTTTCCAACAGACCTCACAACCTCTGAGGATGCCTGCCATAGATGTAGTCAGAATGTCAGGAGAGAATGCTCCTGGGACATGGATATACAGCTTGGAAAACTCACAGCAATCTAATACATGAAAATGTTTGCCTAGATTTGTGGTTTTTCAGTGGCCTTAGGTGTATTTTACGCACTGAAAGATCTCACTGCATATCAGACTATAATGTGAATGAAACTTACATGGAGCACACTCACGTCCTTGTAATGCATTTACAATATGTTCCATACTTTTAAAAAACAGGACACAAGAAGGAAGTAATAGATAGTTTTTAAAGGCTCATATAACAATAATCCAAATGCAGATGTGCCGAGTTTTAACACCAGCGCTTGTCAATAAGGCCTCTGCAATTTGTAGCCATGGCTTTAATTTTGTTTCCAAGCCTAGCCTGGGATTCAAGCCTAACAGCTCATGTGCTTAATTCCAGATGTGGAGACAAAGGCATCTTTCTATCTTGAGTGGTCAGGAGATGAACTCTGTGCACTCCCACAGAGGGACTTTGCGTGATTCCATCAATACTCAAACCACTACATCATGCTGGCTCCAATATTGATTTTGGATACATTTGCACAATAGAAAAAGTGTGGTTTGGTATCACTTCAACTGCTATGGTTCAATGCTATGGAATCTTGGGCTTTACTATTTGGTGAGACATCAGCGCTATTTGACAGAGAAGGCTAAGAACTGTAAAACTCTCAGATTCCATACCTTGAGCCATGGCAATTAAAGGTCAGTCGAACTGCAATACTTATACAATGTAGCTGTGTTCTTATGATCAGTCACATTATAACCCCAGATTCCCTCTGAACGAGCTCAAGGCAGTGGGCCTGGGTCTCCTCCTCTCTTCCTCCTCCTAAGAGCAACCTTGTGGGGCAGCTCAGGCTGAGAGAGAGTGGCTGGCCCAGGCCCAGACTGAAACAGACTCTCCCAAATGTCACCACCCTCAATGCCAGCCTGACTGGAAGTCTGAACAATGGCATAAAGGAAGCTTATCAGCTGGGCAAACTACCTTCAGAAAGAAAGGGTGATTCCACACTGTCCAAATAATGTATTTTTGACACCACTTCAAGTGCCATGGCTCAATGCGAGGGAGTCATGGGAGTTGAAAAATGGAGAGAATACCAAGAATGCATCCACATTGATGAATGTAAACGGACACCACTTTAATCACCAGGGCTCAAGGTATGGAAACCTGGAATCCTAATTTACAGTCTTTAGTCTGATCTGTTACCTCAAAGGGCAAGTCTCATGACTGCATGGCACTGAGCCAGGGCAGTTAAAGTGGTGTCAAACTGCATTAATTCTACAGTGTAAATGCATGGTTGGATGGATGGATGGAAGGAAAGAAGGAAGGAAGGAAGGAAGGAAGGAAGGAAGAAAAAAAAGGGAGGAAGAAGGAGGGAAGAAGAAAGGGAGGAAAGGGGAAAGAGGGGGAGGAGGAAAGGAGAGAGGGAGAGAAGGAGAAAGAAGGGAGAAAGAGAAGGAGAAGGAAAGAGGATGAAAGAAAAGAGGGAGAAAGAAGGAGAGGAGAGGGAAAAGGGAAGGAAGAAGGGAGAAGAGA